TGACGGTTGGGCTTGTGACCAGTGCTCACCAGTCTGACCAGGGGGACATTGGCAGCTGTCCTTGCATCTGGCTCACAGCACATTGTGGGAGTTTGCAGCTGTGTAGCAGGCATTGTGGCAGATTCGGCTCCCTCGGGGCTCGGTGATCTGGCTCCATTCGGACTGCTTCCTCGTGGTTCATCGCCTCAACAGGGAAGAAGGGGGAAGGAGTCTCTTATGTGGAGCTGGTCGCTTCATGTAGCACTTCTGCTGAGTTCTCTGGGTTTAGCTCTCCATGCCATTCACACACAGGGAGTGTCAAGTGTCCTGGCCAACGTCCTGTCTCGTTTCATTCTTCTTTCCATGGAGTGGACGGTCGATGCCGTTTCTTTCCTTTGGCTTTGATGGACATACGGGCACCCGGAGGTGGACCTCTTCGCATCAGTGTGGTCTCGGCATCTCATCTTGTATGTGACGCCATTCCCCGACTGCGAGACCCTCGCGCTGGACACTTTTCAGCAGGACTGGTCGAGGTGGGGGTTTCTTTACCTCTTCCCCCCCTGATCCAGCTGTTGCTCCAGGTTTTGGCTCGGCTGGAATCCGATCGGGTGGAAAGTTGTTCTCCTGCCCCTATGGTGGCCGGCCCAGCCTTGGTTTCAGGCACTACTTGCTTAGTGTCCGAACCCGGGCATTTTTCTGTGGCTCTGCCTCTTTCAGCAGGTCGGGCCGGTGAGGTACCTTGTTGGTTCGACTTATAATTCCGCAATATGTGTCTAGTATTTCTGACGCATGTGTATCTCCATTTGTATGGTGATCAGGGAACTCCTTTGGTGGTGTCCCTCCTGGAGTAATCTTCTCAGTGATGGTATGAAGTTTCTTGGTGGGCTTTCTGCAATTTTCTTTCTCTTCGTCGGGTTTCATCAGTGTCGGACACAGTTATTTTGTTCATTCTCTCTTGACTTTTTCTGGATGCCAAATACTATCTCATGCCAAATACTCTCTCATCCCAAATACTGCTGCTTCTTATTGAGCGGCGTTGGTAGTGCATCTTGCATTCGGGGTGGATGTCACTTTCGCTCCATTCCATTTGGCAAGCTTTCTTATGCATTTTTCACCTCCGGCCTGTTAATGTGCTGCCTGATCCTTCTTGGTCTACGGACCGGGTTCTTTTCTTTCATTCTTTCTTCTCCTCGGTTTATAGTAACCCCTTCAGTTCGTGATTGATTTTGGAAAGCTTTGTTTTTGTTGCTTTGGCTTCTAGGGTTTGGGTTGAAGAGCTTTATGCTTTTTCTCTGGTTCCATTTTTTTTTTTTCATTTGGCCCTGGTGGTCATTTTGTTCGTTTGCAGCTGGCTCCTTTTCTGGCGAAGAATGAAACAGCGAGCTTTCGGAGGGGTCAATTGATTGTGGATGCTTGGTTGGTTCGGCCAGGGGTGCATCATGTTCCGTGTCCAGTAGCTATTTTGCGCCGTTACCTGTGCGGGCCACCGGTTTGGTGTTGGTGGACAAGCTCTGGGCTGATCCAGTTTCCCTGGTTCCCTGTTCTAGGGTTCGTGTGGAACAACCTTGTTCTCGGGTTGTTTGCAGTGTCATTAAGTCTGGCCAGCCTGCGGTCTACCCACGTGCCCATGATATTAGGAAGTATGCCGCTCTTTCGGCTGTTTTTGGCAGTATGTCTTGGGACGATATTCGAGTGCAGGGGTTTTGGAGGTTGAGCAGAGTCCTGGCCACCACATATCTCATGAACGTCCCAGTTCCTCTGCGGCCCTGTATGGCAATGGAACGCCTGTCACGGCCACCTGTCTCGTCCTCGCTTTGAGACTTGCAGTGCTGCTGCCTCCCGGCTAAGTCCATTTTTCCTGTTCTGTGGGTAGTTTGCTTCAGGGAGCCAATGGGGCTCCTCACAGAAAACCAACATTGAATGTAATGAAATGCAGTGCCAAATTCTGGGTGAGCCCCACAGGCTGCCTGAACCCCTCCTCCCTCCGGATAGCAGTTTTTATCATTCGAGAACTGGATGGCGGGTAGCCAGATTCACCCCAGCTGGCTTTCCCTTCCCTTAGTTGAACGAAGTGTTTCTTGTTTTCTTTTTGGGAGATTTCTTTTGCTCTTTTGAGGAATAGGTCGTATTTTTAACCAGACAGTGGTCTGTTATGTTTCACCTTCCTTTCTGGCTGCCTTCCCTGGTCAATGGCAAGTATGACATACTTTAAATGTAAAGTGCTCATAGGCCATTGCTCCCTGTGCCTCTCTGAGGGAACCAGGTTCTGGCTTGTGGTTCCTGGTAGGCATAAGAACTTCTATGACTGATGACCCCCAAACTAATAGAGCACACATCAGTTCGGATGGCTTCAGGGAGCCTCCAGAAAATGGCTGGTTTTTTGTTCATTGACATTTCTGAGAAATTGACTTTTATTAACTTTGTTGACAGAAACATAAAATTAATTAAGATGATATATTTGTGTTGATTTTGCCTATGCCCTCATTCCTATCAATATGTAAAAATGTCTGCCAATTTGAGGAAGATCAAGTAATATTTAGAGGTTTTACAGTCTCTACACTTGTAAAAAAAAATTATTGATATGAAACACCTTAACATATACCAATACCAAAGTTTTAGCAGAAACCTGTACTATACTTTGATACTATAGAACAATTGATAATCTAGTACCATTACCTAACATTGTGTTTAGATGTTAGAACTAGGCATAATAAGCATTATGTGCTCAGGTTGTGTAAACGATAACATAGTACAGTATATCAGTAACATGGTGACTATTAATAGTCATAGAACAATTCCTGCAACATTCTCAAAATAAAAAGAGTTAATTGGATTACTGAGTAGTGATTGCTGACTAATAACACTTAAAGAAATCTATGCCCAGTCTTTTAAGTGGTTCAGTGCAAAATGCCTAACATTCCCTCCATATTGAGTTTGAAGTTTTGATATAACTATAAGCCTTTAGAATAATTGTAGATACAGTGGAACCTCGATTAACGAGTGGCTTTATTAACGAGTTTTTCCAGTAACGAGCAAGCCACTCGCAGCAAATTTGTGTCTATTGACGAGCTCGCCTCTATTAATGAGCAAAACCACATGGTGCTTCCTAGCATCTCGCGGGTTCTCGCAAATTCTCGGACGCCTCCAACGCCAATGTTGTTGTTGTATCGCACACGACAAGCATCCCTCTGGATTTATTTGAGCTTTTCTTTGGGTTTTTAGTGGTTTTGCGACTACAATTTGTAACACACGATGTCTCCAAAGAAGCTGCTTGCTAAAGATAGTGTTGTCAAGAGGAAGAAAGACACAATTACTGTGGATTTAAAGAAGGAAATTATAGCAAAGCATGAGTGTGGTGTCTGTGTGATTGATCTTACAAGAGAGTATGGCAGGTCCTCATCAACAATTTACACCATTAGTCAGGGAATGAGGTGGTAAGGAAGGATGCTGCCTCTTCCACTGAGTTCAGGGAAGTGTTTGGAATGTTTGAAAAGGTGAACGCATTCTTGGAAAAGCTGCCCTGATAAAGCAGTGACAACCCGGTGTGTGAAAATGTTTAATTAATTTATCACTTTGTGATAACAATTTATGAAAGTGTTATCACTTTCGCAGGTATATGTCGCTTGAACGTGACACACTTTTTTCTCTTGAATGCACCCAAACACCGCGCTCAAGTGTCATTTGAGCAAATATTTCTATAAAATCCAATTCTTATCCGATCGACTTGGGAAATGTATACATGTTTGCCATGAAATTTCCGTTTTCTTTAATAACCACATTGCCTATTTCAGAAAACGGCATTGTATTGTATCTTCGTGGTAAGACTATTATATTGTTGACACAACGAGTGTAATCGACGTAGTTTTTTATTTGGTTCTGGTCTAACGCATCCTTGTGTGACATTTGAAATGAAATTTGGGTGAAATTCCCAAGAAGAGAGAGTCCGCCTGACTCAGAGGTGGATTCTCCTTCCACACCATAACCCCTCTCCTCCTTCCGCCCTCCCCATCGTCTCCCTCAAGCCAGCAACTACTCTTCATAAGGTAAAGTAAATATTAAAACACTACAACAAAACATTTATATTTACATGTGCAGTATTATATTTACATAAAAAAAAGTCATACAAGTATGGATGTTTTTGGGAGTGGAACAGATTAAATTTATTTCCTTTATTTTAAATGGGGAAATTTGTTTCCTAAGACGAGTTTTCCAGGTAACGAGCTCGGTGCCAGAACGGATTAAACTCGTTAATAGAGGTTCCACTGTATCTCTTCCCCTCCTCTTCCCTTTTCCCCCCTCTTCCCCCTCTTTCCTCTCAGATTATTATCTGGTTGATCACAGAAAACACACATTTCTCTGCTGCCATAGAACCTCTCTCAAAATGTTTCACCACCTTGTTATCAAAGACTTGAACCACACAAAATACAAGTTAGTGTAGGAGTCTAGCCTATCCCCCAAAAGACCTAAAAGTGATTCCATGCACCCGCCAAACCCCCTCTTTATGAATGAAAAACGGTTTACACACGACTCGCATCCGATTTCTTTCGAACACTTCTGGAACAAGTGCTTCACCGACAAATTTTGTTCGAACCACAATGCTGTAAATTCTTCACCCATGTACTAGAAATACAAATAATCGCCAACAGAACCTAAACACCTAACCTAGCCAGTGCCTAAATATGTACAATACAGTATGCTAATATATATTAATATTAATTTATATATGAGAAAAATTCTGTTTTGAATGAACATAATGTTAAAATTGATGAATGTGTCTTTGGGGTTAACTGCTGGATAGAATGGACTTGGTCCGAGGAGGGGTTGAGGAGTCACTACTACAATTATTTCCATTGAAAAATAAGTATGTTAGTAAATCTTTAGGATATCCTCGGCTAAAGTTTGCAACAAAGTGCATCTGAAGGAAGTAAATGACTTAATTGGTGTAATGTTGTTACACTAAACTCTGTACTCTTTCTTGGGTGTCAGAAATGGTGTTATTGTATTATCCATTTTATTATCAGGCTTCCTTGGAGTATGATGAGAGCCGTCTTGAAGAAGAGAAGACATACAAAATTGTTCGATGGGTAAATTGTATCGAGTTGACATCAGACACACTGACTCAACTAACGGCAGCAATATTAGCAGTTGTGAATCAGGTTACATTATCACAGCAAGGTGGGTAAAGTTTTTATTTGGCAAGCATATATTGTACGAGAAACCACTGTGAATTGATAAATTGCAGGATTACTGTAGTTTGAGTTTAGATATAAAAAAATGTGTGAAGAAAAAAAACATGAGATGATATCTGTAATATAAGGGCTAAGTAAGCCTTTGTGTTACTGGTTCTTTAAAAAGAGATACTGGTACTTCAGGTATTTTATTAACATAAACTTTAAAATTCTCAGGGAAAATACCCAAGATGTGTGACTATTCTTTGGAGATATTTTAATTAATGTCTGCAACTGAGTACAGTACAGTATCTGATATTGTATTGATATTTTCCACCAAGCTGTCCAGACCCTCCCAGCTCTTCCCTACTGTATACACATACAGCCAAACTCGTGCATTCATGATTTTTATATGTTAATTTTCAACAGGGAAACTGAACACGAGAGAGTTTGAGTGTACTATCGATGAGCTGAAAACAAGATTGCAGTATTTAATGGATTTTGCTGGCCTTAATTTGACATCTGCTGATGGACCAGGCTCTTCACTCGCTTCATCATCCAAGATGGAAAATAGCAAAGAATTTATGGATAACCTACGTACTGTAGCCTGGCATTCTCTTCATGAAGTTGAAAATCTAAAAAATTATTTATGTAGTTCTAAAAGATCCTTAAAGTTAAAAGAATCAAAAGGTAATGCCTTCAAATGTAATAAAATACTTGTGGCTGAGTGGCCAAGAAACAGTCAAGAATACCAACAACATTTAAAACGGTTAGAAGAGCAGAAGCACAGGATGAAAAATACACCATACTACTTTGAAATAGCTTCCTCTGAACAGAAGAGAGTAAGATTTGACATTAGCTCTTCTTCAATTTCATCAGTTGGTGGTTTTGAAGAAAATGATAATGTAAATGTATAAAATATTTAGTAATTATAGGATTAAGTCACTATTCTCACCCACTCTTCTATCTTCTCTTACTGTTTCCTCTCACCTCTTCCTTTTTTTTCTGCCTCTATTTTTCTTTTTCTTTTTTGTCCTTTGTCTATCTCTGTCTCTGGTCATAAATATTAAGTTTCATATTTTCATTAATTCTGTACACATGCTCTTTCTCTCTCACATTCTTACTACGTATACTGTGTGTACACGTACATATATTTATTTGTGCCATATTTATCAAAACCACTGAGCATTTGGAAAGGGCTAGGTCAAATGTCACTCCACTGTAATTGCATTGATTGTTAGATTTCTATTAAGGATTTGTTACAGATGCATTTGTCACCAGTTATTATTAATTATCACATTAATATTCATATTATATTTTGGCAGATGTGATTATCATGCATCACCTTTCAAATCCTCACCTGTGTAAAAGAAAACAAAAGTGAAGTGAGGCTCTAGTATGGCTTAAACTGAATTCCAGGTTTTAAATCTTTAATGATTCAGAAAGATGCCAGCTGGTCTATCAGACTATATGTCTTTAGCTTTAAATAAGAAGAGCATTGGAGTGTTAATTTTTCTCTATTATCCTTACTATGTTCCAAAATAATTTTGAAGGACCATGTGTTTCATGTCTTCAGAAACTGTAGTTAGAACAGTCATTGCCAGCTTCAAAAGTTTCCCCCATGTTCAATTTTTGTTGAGGTTTTGTGTAGTATTCATTTATCACTTAAGGATTTACTAAATTGTGTATAATTGTTCCTTTTGAAGCTTGATTCATATTTCTGGAGCAGTTAGGGCATAGTAGATATGTCTTTGCTCTCTTTTTTTACTTCTTTATAAATTATGTAAATAATATAATAAATTTTGTGTGTGTATCATAATGCTTCAACAAATATTGTTGATATCCTTTACATTGTGAAATAAAATAGATTAATTATATTGCTCTTTGTTCAACATTTGCATACTTAGCTCACAATATATGAGTTTCCAACATGTTGTAAAAAGTAATTTATTCTTTGTGTGTTATCTGTAACGAGGTGGATAAATCACATTTCCCTTCTTCCGTTTTGTGTATACAGTATTTGACTGACATGTTTTGAAGTGTGTAGGTTCTACTCGGTCACTATTTCATTAGTCACTGAGGATGAAGCTTTAGTCTTTATGTACTCATTTCTCAATGAACACAACCCAGAGTTGTTGTAGCCAAGTCTTGTAATTGCCAATTATATCAGCAACTTTTTTTTTCTGCATCCAGTCAGCTTTTCCATAGCAGATCTACCTTTACCTTCATTATCTGCAACCATGAAATCCCCTGTTTTAAGACTCCATTTTCTCTACACAAGTCCTCGTATGTTTCTAGCTCTTTAAGCTTAAAATACTGAGTTCTGACTTCTTGGTGAACATGTTCTTCCACAATAACCTAAAAATATTATGGTTAATAATAAAATTAATACTATCTTAGCAGTGTTTTTAAAACAGTTGAAGGTATCAAGTTTTCTTTTAAAAATGTGTTTAGTGTATTTATATTTTTAAACAATTTGTTCTTTGAAAAGCATTTGCAGGTTGATGGGATGAATTGTTTATTATGTTGCTGTTGTAATTCTGACTTCTTACTGTTGAATATTACCTAGTCTTAAAAATGCTTGACTTTTCAGTAGCTTACACAGAGGAAAGTGGTGTTTTTGTGTTATAAAGAAGCATACTTGTAATACTTTCACAATATATGTCTAAAAGATTGTGGACAAGAAAGGCTCATAGATGAAATATTTAATCTGTAAACAGTTAATTGTTTTTCTTAATGTATATAATTGATAAATTATAATAAAAATACACATTTATTAATTTTCTATAACTCAGTCCCAAAATTTATATAGGATATTATATGCTCATCCTGTCCTCATGGAGGTGGTACCCTGGAGTAATCACTTCAAAACCAATACATAATTTGTGGCATTATCTACTCCCTATCTGTGGTTAGCTAAGGTTAAAGTTACATTATGTTTTATTAAGTTTGTTTACATTAATACAGTGTTATTCTCATTCTTGAAATATAAAATTTGAAATCTATTTAAGTATTCCCCAGAATTTAATTTACAGAAAAAAAAAATTCATTAGAGTTTCAAAGAAAACAAGTTAAGCATAGACTTTTTGTTTTAACACTTGCCCGGCCGATAACTCATAATGCGTCCTTATATGAATGTACTCAGTCTGGGCGAGGACTCGCCCTGCGAACTAAATTAAAATATTTGTTATTTTTCTGGGGGGAGCCCCTTCAACTCCCTGGAGCTATCCAGGCCGATATGAATATATTAGACCCTGGCATCAAAGCAAATGGAGTTCTACACCTGCATCAACTTCCTCATCACAATCGACTTGAGAATGGTCCAGGACAGACCGAAACGTCGTCGTCCCTTCACCTAGTGTGTGGTCTGGACAACAAATGGAGTTCTAGCCTACCGGAGACCACGAGCCAGAACCTGGTCCCCTCAGCAAGGCACGAGGAGCAATGGCCTATAGAAACCTATAGGAAAAACGAGTCTCCCCCTTGAGAGTTATTCAGCAAGCCTGACCTAACTAGAAAGTATAGGAAATATAGAGGCGATAACACAGATATAAAATAGTTTGTTGGATTCAATGAACAGTTTAAGATTGGGCAGTGAAGAAGAAAACAGATAAATGACTGGCTAGGAGATGTGGACATTTTGCTGGAGGCGTGAGGCTCGCTTCTGGAGGGCTTTGACCTCACTTGAGGCCAGACATCGCAGGGGGAAAGCCGCGCTCCGTTGAGCTCCCGTCAGGAAGGGACCCCTAGTGATATATCTCCAAGAGAAGAGAAGTGTGTAGACGTGCCAGCTGTAGAATCGAGCTAGGAACGTTGTGGTCTCAAGTCCTGGTCGACGAGGAGAATATTAAGCCGCCCAGAGACATTATTGTGGGCCGTGGAAGCGCCCTGACCAGCCTATGTCAGAGGGAGGAGCGCCCTCGACCAGATAATCTGTGGTAAGCACGATATACGCCAGTTCATAGTGATTGCTTGTAGTTGGTCGTGTGCCCAGCGACAGTAGCAATGTTTATTGATAAGTTAGACATGTTTTAATAAGGCAGAAGGCCTGAAATAAGAGAGTGGAGAGGGAGGAACACGGAGCGACATCCGTCTCCTCTGAGCGCTAGCAGGCAACTGAGGGAGCCCGGCTCCTGACGGCGGAAGACCCTCCCAGCGTAAGTGAGGACCACCGCCGGGCGAGGTGGAGCATGGACCCGCCCAAAACGGGGGGTTCACTCTCACTGTATGTAGAGGACAGATAGAGGTTTGAGGCAAACATATTGTGCGATTATTTTTGTTTATGTGTTAAAGGGGAAACATTTTTATTGGAGTGTCGATGGGTTGCAGGTGTGTCCTTTGGGGAAGAAGTTGCTGAGAACTTCGAAGCCAGCGCAGATGAAGTAGTTGATGAGACTCCAAGGTAGTGGAGCAGAGGACCTCGAGCTGTGAGGAGAAGCAGTGAAGAGGAGTGTCACGCGCTTCTGTAAAGGTGGTGAAGCACCATAGTTGTTCGAGGGAACTTCATGGTGTAGCAGCCCAGAGAGCTGTAGAGGACCCTAGCAGAAGGGTGAAGCACCGTAGTTGCTCAAGGAAACTTCATGATAGCAGCCTGGAGGAGCTGCAGAGGATCCTGGTAGTGAAGCCCAGAAGAACCTGAAGAGATCAGGGTAGTGAACTTCCAGAGGTGGAAGGGAAGTTCTGGTGGATTACTTGTAGGGAGTTGATAGTGTTTGGTTGTCATTAGCGTGCAAGACGCAGTGAGAGGTGAGTGATTGTTGGCATTCTTATGTCAAGGAGTGTTTTATACTGAAGTTTAGAGTTACAATCATAGGCTGGATTACCTACAGATGTATGCGTTCTAGGACTGATAGGGTGATCGATTGATCATTGTTGTGTATCAATGAACATTTATACTGATATATGTTATTGCATTCAAATGCTGATTTTCTTTGTACACATTTATAGATACATATATATATTCTCTTGTTGATAGTGCAACAGTGTATGTAGACTTGATCAACTTGAGGAGGTTGATAGTATCAGGTGGTGAACCAGGAGATAGGATACCACTTGATAAGCTGATGATAGAGTTCTGATGGTGTTGGAGTGCAACCTGATTGTAATAGTATAGAGTATAGGATTCATTATTTATAGGATTCATTATTTATAGGATTCATTATTATTATATGTGTGTATATATTGTGTATGGGCTTTGTCAAGTAAATGTATTCCAATTTGCTAGTGTTTGCCCTTGTCCTAGTGAGGCTTCCCAGTAAATAGTAAAGAAGGAGAGAAAGAAAGAACCAAGAACCACTGCTGCGGATAGGGTAGAAGGTAATACTAATAAGTCAAAAGGGGATTGAGGAGATCATATCACCTAAGAAAGTGGGGAGAGTCACAGCGGCTCGAGTGGGTGTGTGCATGTGACAACGAGGCTAAGTATTGGAGCCGCATCCCCTAAACGTGTGACGTTGAGCCCCTCTCCAAGAGCCAGAAGCGCCCAGGGTGATCTCCTAGTGAGGTATAAGCACTCTACCGAGTTGTGGGTTGGGTTGTCCGTAAAGGAGGAACAACAACGACGACAACACCACCAACACAATCTATAATACTTGGGTACTTCGGTTCCTTCCTTCCGGAGTTTTTCGGCTTCCCACATCCCACCACATAAAATGCGGGAAGCCCTTGTGGCGTACCTCCTCTGCAACCCGGATTACACCTCATTATTGGATCCTGCATCTTGAGTTTGGTTTTTCATTTCCTTACTGAGTTCGTTACTAGGTTCCAGAGTCGTCCTGGTTGGCAGACTGTCCTATCTTTTCGTTGGAAGAATGGCATACGTTCTGTCGGTCCCGCACACTCGAGTGTTGAAAGGCACTTACCGTGGTTCAGGTTAACCTGGAGGATGAGTTTGAGCACCTCAATGCGTGTTTGTTTACCTCTGTGCTTCTGCGGGATGTCGGCCTTTTTCAGCTTCATGTGCAGGTTCCTTTCCTTTCGGCTGCCCTGGTTGCTGAGGATTTGCACGCTCGTGGCCATTTGGCTTCAGTCTTGTATTTATTTTTCTTCTCAAGCTATCTTCGGACTGGCTTGAGGAGGATGTGGAGGCGCTTGGGGCCGATCCTGGGTCTGGTGCGCTGGTCACGGCGGTGCGGGCATTGACTGCGCTGTTGAAGCTGTTTGCGCTGATCCTGCGGGAGGCGGTGTCTCTGGTCTTATCTTCTTGTCTCTCGTGTTGGCAGGCGGTGCTCCCTCAGTCTTTATAATCCGTGTGAGCCATGGCTCTTAGGTTTTCTATGTTTTTTTGTCCTTTGTTGTTTGCAGAGTTGATAGTGGTGCAGTATCTGCAGGCGACCTCTTCTAGTTGTCATCCTATGTCAGATTTGTTGGTTCTCCGGGGTGCCCGCAAGGGGTCTTCCCGAAAGGGTCGTGCCAGGGCTCGGGGTTCCTTTCTGTCATGGTATGCCAGTGGTGCCAGTTTCATTGCCGGTGCAGCCTTTGGAACTGACAATGTCTGGTCGGCGCGGTGATCGCTCTGCTCGTCGATCACTCTGCTCGTCAGTCGGCTTCTTGTAAGGGGCATCAGCCATTTTGCAGTTTGTCCCATTGGTTGGGCTATGGTGGGGGGGGGAGGCTCGTGCTGTTTGCTTATGCCTGGTCCCACGATTTGTGGGCATTTTGGGTCGTTTCTTGTGGCCTGCAGTGCCATTGGGTGGGCCCCTCCTTCGGGGCTGGTGGGGCAGGCTGCTTCTCTTGTGCCTTGTCATTTCATCTTTGCGTGGGTTCGTTTTGGCGTGGTCAAAATGACCTCGTCTCTCAGGTGGGTTTCCCGCCTGTTTCCGGTTCCGAAACGAGACTGCACAGACCTGCGGTTCATTCTGGACTTGTCCTGTCTGAACCACTGGGTCTTTTGGCCTTCCTTTTGGATGATTACTCTATCCCAGGGCCGTCTTCTTTTGGACCTCCGGGATGTGCACTGGCACGTCCCAATTCATCCGGGGTTTCAGGGACTGGCTAGATTTTGTTGTGGGGCGACAGGCTTATTGCTTTCATTGCCTTCCATTCGGCTTGAATCTGGCATCTCGTGTTTTCACATGCCTTACCCAAGTCATGGTGGCCCGTTTGCGTCTGTTAGAGGTTCGGGTTCTGGCCTACCTCAATGACTGGCTGGTGTGGGCTCCCAACCAGTCTGCTGGTGCCTGCTTGCCAGGGATTTGGTTCTTAACCAGCTCGCCATGTTTGGGTTCCTGGTGAACTGGAGGAAGTCCCATCTGGTTCCATACCAGGTTTGGACTTGGCATGGTCTTGTGTGGGACTCTCGGACCGCTTCCTTGTCTCTCCCTCTGGTGGCTCTGCTGCAGATGTGGTCTCGCCTTCGCCTGTCTCTGTGGGAGTTATCTTGACATGATTTTCTCGCCTGATGAGCCTTACGTTGGCTGTTGCGTCACCGGCTTCCTCTTCGGGTTTTTCAGGGTTTAGTGCCTTGGTACGTACCCAAGCCCTCACTTGATGTATTCATAGACGCGTTATCTCTTGGCTGGGTCTTTGTGATTAATGCCGGTGGAGTCCATCCTTTCATCGGGCTCACAGCACAGTGCGGGAGTTCGCAGTGGTATGGCAGGCACTTCAGAGGGTTCAGGTTCCTCAGGGTTCGACGATCCGGCTCCATTTGGACTACTCTCCGGTGGTTCATTGTCTGAACCGCGGGGGTTTGATGCGGTCCTTGGCTCTTTGGGGCTGTTCGCTTCAGGTGGCTTGTTTGCTGTGTTCTCGGGGTTTGGCTCTCCTGGCAGTTCATGTT